ATTTTAATACACATACGTTTATACTTAAACATGTATACGCAATCACATATAACATACCAAATATATATATGTTCACGCATTTGTTCTTATTAATTTATATCTCATTCATCGTATATTTTTATATATATATACACACACACATGTGTAATAACGTGTATATATGTACACTATATAAATATACAAAAATATAAACTAGACATACTAATTATATTAATATTACATTATACATACATTTAAACATTCACACATCAATCATTATATATATACACATTTACATAAACATATAATTTATGTTTTCGTATAAAATACACATAATTCTTACATATGGTGGATTATGAAAGTTTTGAAAATTCTTTCTACCTCGTTTTACGTACTTTTAAAAATCTAAATACTATTTAAATAGTTTTCTTTGTTTATAATTAAAAATATATATATTAAATTATTAATAATTTTAGAAATTATATTACGTAAAATAAAAAACGGATTTTATTTTAAAACACGCGGTCTCAATCGCCAACGTCATCACACGCGTGCCATTGAAATTGCTAGACACTGATGATCGAATCAGTCGCTTGTTTTCTTCCTTAACTATTTTTTTTTTCTTTTATTTCATCAAATTTTTATTCCTTTTTTTTCTCTTATTTTTTTTTTTAATTTTCTTTCACTTTTCTTTTCTATTTTTTTTTTTTCTTTTCTTCTTCCTTTTTCCTTCCTTCTTCTTCTTCCTCCTTTCCCGTAGCTTCCTCTCTTTTTTTTTCTTCTTCCTTTGTTTTTTTTCTTCTCTTCTTCTTCTTCTTCTTCTTCTCTCTCTCTCTCTCTCTCTCTCTCTCCTTCCTGGGACGTCTCCCCTTCCGCCGCGTCTCACCTCCTCGACTGCTGCTCACTCCTCCTCCTCACGCGGCCAAGGCTCCTCCCCTCACTCCGCTCTCTCGGCCCCGATCCTCACTCAGCTCGGCCTCCTCTCTCACCCACTCGAACTCAGCTCTCTTCCTCTCTTTCTTTTTCTTTTTTTTTTTTCTGCTCTTTCATTACATATATATATATACATATTTCCTGCTTGGTTTATTCACCTTCTTTCTACGTTATTATTTTTTTCCTTAATTTATAATTAATTGTATATATATATATATATATATTTTATTATATATTTACAATTTTATTAACAATCATACTTTAACTCAAGCAATTAACTCCAAATTATCGTCCTAAATCCAACATACTATATTTTTAATCCATCCTCTTGCAATTTTGACAAATACTTAGAAAACTGGTCTTAAATTTAGAATATAAAGGACATTACAAATTGTTTGGAAAACATTATATTTGGTTTTGAACAATGGCATGACACACATGGTTGCTGCATCACAAATTCTACAGACTTTTCTCATTCTCCTACTCTCACCTAAATACAATTTAATTTAACGTTAAATAATTGTAAAATAATATGTTTAAATGAAAGGGATTATTTTTATGAATTAAATATTAACTAAAAAGAAATTAAGCATATCAACTGTGTGTATGTGTGCGTATGGATGCAGAGTATTTGGTGGTGTGTGTTGAAAATTTGTAAATGAAGTAAGTAATTGGGATAGTGAATCGAAGTGATGACAAATGAATAAAGCCATGCATGTGGGTGATGAAAGATGGAGTGTTGTTTGTATAAGCTGCTGTGTATCTCACTATCTAAGTGGAATGTCGACGGGGTGGAACATGGACATGCAGAGTCAGTAGGCACACCAGTCCTCCTCCCGCTCCCACCCATTCTAATATTCCTTCTGCTACTTCTTATATACTTTGTCTCTTCCATTTTTCTGTTTCCTAATTTTTGGATTCTACGTATATCTATCTATATATATATATATAGGTATAGTGGATTAGGACCCCCACTCACTATATGCATGCATTACCTGACGTAATAATTATTTTATTTTGCATTTTTCATCAAATTATTGTCGTACAAAATTGTGGGAATTTTACTAAAAATTCAAGATTAAGCTTGTGTTATTTGTTCTAATGAAGTGGGTCAATCAAGATAAGCATCTTGTAAGGAGGGTGATTAATTAAATATTAACGTGTATTATGCAAATTAGTCATTAATGAGTTTCATTAATTAAGCC